GTTAGGCTGGAGTCACATTGAGCGGAAATCTACAGCGGAACGGAACAGCGAGACCACGGTGTAAGAATAATAGGTGTATTCACTCACCTACATTTCCCCTAAAATGCTGTGACTAAAGTGAGGCAGTTCATAACACTAAATGGCATAATGATCTAATACCTAACCTAATAATCTACTGTCTGAGAAATTCTGAGAATTACTGCTTTTCTGATTTTTAGTTCGTATCATGCCATATAACTATTGTGTTATTCCTAAAGAAAGGATTGTTCTGATAATCAATTTCGTAATAACATTATACCAAAAAAATTTATTACGTTTATTAACATCGTATTTGATTATACGTATGTAATACTAACTCGAACATGTACTTGTATATATTCATTTCCATTTCATTATCTTTCAATAATAAAATGTATTACGTTAAAATAGTTTGGTATAAGAATTTTAAAATTAATATTGATATCTTATGGGTTTTTAAAATATAAAAAACAGTTATAGTTTGATCTCTCACCTAGAACACTATATTTGATCCAATATTTTGAAGTATATGTTAAACATGTAATACTATCTTTATTCTAATTTTTGTTTGAACTTCCGGTTTTGAGTTGTTTATACCAACTTAAATTCTATCTTTAAAAACCCATGTAAAAAACCATACTATTATTTAAATTCTACTAAATTAAAAAGTAAAACCCATTTGGTACTATCTTTATAAACTAACAACATCGTAATCAAACACCGGATGTACAAATCCGGCATTCTCCATTTGATGTGTAAAGTCAGCTGAATGCGTTGAATAGCCCTTCAAAAGAGTAGTTATTCCAACGTTTCTATTACAATCAATCTCAGAACCATTGAGTTCGTATCGAATTTCCTCAAACATGAACGCCACGCAATTAATTCCAAGCTTCGGCCGTTGTTCCGCATTTTCTTCTTCTTTTGACGTAAGTCTTCCTTCGACATAGGGTGCGGTCAAAGTCTCACTACAAATGCTTCGAAGCGTTTCAAATGCGGTCAATCGGACGCTTCAAAATATTCTAGCCGCAGGTATGACGTCATGAATACGTCATCATTTTCGCTTCCAACTCGCTTCCATTGCTGCTGCCGAAGAGGTAGTGTAGCTGAAGCGTTTACGGTTCAAATTTACGAACGCGGGAAAGTGACGATCAGTTGTGATCTTGCGACAATTATAAGTTTGTGTATCTTTCATAATAATAAAGAACAAGATGCCGCAAATTACTTTATTTGATCCCAATACTGAAAATACGTACATAATTGAAGTGACTAAAGCCGATGCAAAAAGAGCTAGTGAAGGTAAGAAAAATATTTTTCTAACCTATTATTTAACCTATGTATTTAGTTTTATGCATATGGAGAAATGTGTCAAAAAATCAAACTCAATGCTTATATTAAAATTTTTTTCATACAGATTTGGTATTCGCAACCTATCTTTTAAATAAACACTTAAATAAACAATCTCAGATTGTGTCTAACTTAATTCCTGATGAGGAATTAAGTCGTGCCAATGTCGTTACGAATCCTGCTATTACTACAATTATTACAGATACTGATGGTAAGTATTATTATTAATATAAATTAATAGGTCTGTTCTTTATTGATAAACTCTTTGAACTGATGTAAACGATGCAATAAATTAAAATAAAACAAATATACGTTCAACTTATTGTACTGTATGCATCAGTTCAGAAAGTTTATCAATATATATGACAGATATCATGTAATTAATATTAAATTATCATTATAAAATAATATAAAGATATTAATATAATAAAAGATTAATATTTATGCATAATTTTCATGTTATAGCTTCCGTAGCTCATGATGCAGACAATGATACAGCACAAATCGAAGGAGATGATTGTTTTCAAGAGAAAGGTATGACAAGTTTTTGTTATGTATTTTTTGCAAATATATTTATAAAAATAATAAAAACAATAATGAAAATATAAACAGATTTGATATCTAACAACTTAAAGACTAAAATACAAGGGGAAGTAGGAGTCAGCGCGGTACTTTGCGCGCAATTATAACAATGGAGATGTTTAAAAGTCCATTCTTAATGTGAAAGGGTATAATCTTTCTATAATTATATATACGCGTTTCGACTTACTTCAAGTAATTCTCAACGTAATTACAAAATCTTGTGCGAATGGTGCATCAATCATGATACCAACCATCTATCGTACAAAAGAGGTTCCTTAGATTCAATTCAGTTTACTGGCCAGAAAGAACAAGTAACTCTTATATGAAGTAAAGCAAATTGATGCAACTCGCATATAAACATTGGTTGACTGCGGGATGTTTATATGCGAGTTGCATCAATTTGCTTTACTTCATATAAGAGTTACTTGTTCTTTCTGGCCAGTAAACTGGAATGAATCTAAGGAACCTCTTTTGTACAATGGATGGTTGGCATCATGGTTGATGCACCATTCGCACAAGATTTTGTAATTACGTTGAGAATTACTTGAAGTAAGTCGAAACGCGTATATATAATTATAGAAAGATTATACCCTTTCACATTAAGAATGGACTTTTAAACATCTCCATTGTTATAATTGCGCCCAAAGTACCACGCTGACTCCTACTTCCCCTTGTATTTTAGTCTTTAAGTTGTTATTTATAAAAATATATAACAAGTAATTAATTTAAAAATATAAAATGAATGTTTTACAGACAGTTTTCGTTGGCCACATGAAGCAATACTTTTACTGTTACAAATGTATACAGACAATGAACATCATCTTACAAGTGGTAAAACAACACACAAAAAATTTTGGGAATTGATTGCTTCCAAATTAATTGCAAATGGATATAATGTAACTGGCGTACAATGTAAAAGTAAAATGGCAGGATTAAAAAACACGTACAAAAATGTAAAAGATCACAATGCTAAAAGTGGTAATAGTAGGCGAACATGGCGATATTTTGAGGTGAGTAGATTGAATATGTTTTATAAGAAATGTATTTCGTTTTCTGTTGTGACTACATTCTTGTATATAATTTGTTGTATATAATTATTTTTATCATGTAATTAACATTTTTGTAATTCCAGATGATGGATGAAATATTTAATAAAAAACCATGGGCCGAGTCACTTCTTACATTGGAAAGTAGCAGTTCGAGTACAACTGTGACCTCTGCTGACGAAAAAGAAGACATTCCAAGTAAAAGATCCAATTCACCTTTTGGTGAAAAAAAATTACCCTCTAAACGTAAGTATTAGAAATATGATATTCATTTATGTAATAACATATCAAAATCAATATTTATTATATTTTTAGGCAAGAAATACAATACGTTGGAGACAATGATTCAAGAAAATGCTGCTACAAGACAAAAAATGCATGAAGAAGCGATGTCACGGCAAGATAAACTACTGGATATATTACAACAATTTCTTCAGAAATAATGACACGAAAGTGATTTTACTTTAAGCGCGCTGATCTCTTTTAGTTAACATTGGTATAATAAGATAGTTTTATTGAATGCCAAAATTACAAAGTTCCTATTTTATTTATCGAAAGATTTGAAAAAGTACAATTCATCTTCTTAAGTAAGCTTTTATTTTTAAAATGTTAAGATGATATAATCATACATATAATATATTTTCAATTTATGTTCTTAAATTTCATTGTTATAAAAGATATTATATGAAAGATGTGATACATATAAGTATAAGAGATTAACACATATTCATTACTTGTGCATGTTTTTATAAAAGATATTATGAAAGATGTGATACATATAAGAGATTAATACATATTATTTGTGCATATTTTTATAAAAGATATTAATGTGATACATATAATAGATATAAAATAATTAAATTTATATATATTGTGATACCATATTTTGCGCAAAAGCTTTTTATTAAAATAAATTGTTGACTAGTGTAGTTTGTTATAATATTATTTATCCTTTTCATTATTCATATATTTCACTATTAATATTTTTATGTTAAAGATATTACAATTTGAAAACTAAAGGTTTTTATTTTAACAAATATTAAATAACATTGGATCTTTATTTTAAATTTAGGTAGTAAAATAAAAGGTACAAATTTAAGATATTTAAAAAGTAAAAATTTAAGTTATTTTTTTATTGACTTTATTATTTTTTATCGGAAGTATAATTTATCGTAAGAAAAGGACAGTTTCCGCCAATTTTCACAAGTGTTTTTAAGCGATCTCACCTTTTAGATTTATCTAAATTGTTTTTATTAAAAAATAGGACGCAAGAAAAATTAATGTGCATTTCTCGCCTATGACGTTATTATTTCAACATAGGGCTAAGCACAAGCACTGCCGTAACATTTTAAGTTGTAGACGTAAGTGACGCACAAGCTTTGGTGTATGACGTTGAATTAATAGATATCGCTACATCTCTTGATAGAGTGCTACCACGTGCTATTGAAGTAAAAGTAAGTAATCTAATCGTTTGTAAGCAAGTCAAAAATAATCTTGTTAATTGTCCTGAAAGTCTTAATGTATTACGGCAATTCTGTGCTCAGACTCTTAGGGTTGATTTATACTGGCCATAATCTGTTACCTTATGCCGTACACAGTCGAATGAGAGGGGAATAATCGATTATAATTGGTCAATTTTTACAGATTACGGCTAGTATAAATCAACCCTTAATAATAGAATTAAGGATGTATAATAAAAAATTATATTCATCAACAATTTATTTTGATACAAAGCTTTTGCGAAAAATATGATATCACAATATATATAAATTTAATTATTTTATATCTATTATATGTATCACATAAATATCTTTTATAAAAATATGCACAAATAATACCTATGTATTAATCTCTTATATGTATCACATCTTTCATAATATCTTTTATAAAAACGCACAAGTAATGAATATGTGTTAATCTCTTATACTTATATGTATCACATCTTTCATATAATATCTTTTATAACAATGAAATTTAAGAACATAAATTGAAAATATATTGTATGTATGATTATATCATCTTAACATTTTAAAAATAAAAGCTTATACTTAAGAAGATGAATTGTACTTTTTCAAATCTTTCGATAAATAAAATAGGAACTTTGTAATTTTGGCATTCAATAAAACTATCTTATTATACCAATGTTAACTAAAAGAGATCAGCGCGCTTAAAGTAAAATCACTTTCGTGTCATTATTTCTGAAGAAATTGTTGTAATATATCCAGTAGTTTATCTTGCCATGACATCGCTTCTTCATGTATTTTTTATCTTGTCGCAGCATTTTCTTGAATCATTGTCTCCAACGTATTGTATTTCTTGCCTAAAAATAAATAAACATTGACCTTAATAATATTTTGTTATAAATAAAAAGTATATTAAAAGAAATATGTATGTTTAATATATACCTATTATTGTTACAAATGGAAATGAAATATACCTTATTCATATTTCATATGCTATTTAAACTTACTTTCGTTTAGTTTGCCATATTTAAATTTGCACATATGTTATTTCTTTTCATTACTGCAGCATTTCTGTCACATACAATAATTCTTTCTTGTTGTACAGCTGCTTGTTCTCTAATAAACATAAGTCGCTCTTGCAATTCCAATTCATCTTTCTGAAGTAAACAAATATTATGCAGCACACAGCATGCATATATGTGGTAAGGAGCAAATTTCACATCATTCACTGCCAAGACATGTAACAGGCTTCTCCATCGCCCTTTTAAATAAGCAAATGCTCTTTCTATTACCATTCTGGTAGAAGAAAAGCAAAAATTATAATTTTTTTGACGCTGCGTGAGATGGCCATTATCAGGATAAGGAACTAAAAGATGCTGATGTAATCCGTAAGCAGCATCTCCAATTATGTGTGTATCATTTGGAAATTTAGTTGAATCATTAATATATTGCTGCAAGGCTGATAACCGAAAAATTCGAGAATCATGAACTGAACCTACATTCCCAACATAGATATGTGTAAATTGCATCTTATCATCACAAACAGCCTAAACAGAAAGCAAATTTCCATATATGTATTGCTTATTTACATAAATTTAATATTATTGTTCAACACGTCATTGTTTTTTTGCTGAAAAATATTATTATATTCTGATATATTATATTATATAAAGAATATTACATAAACAATTTCTAATAAATGACATAAATATGACATTTCATTTTTTAATAATTTGAATTGTATTATAAAGACTTGTGCATAAGTTCTGGGTTGGAGCCGCATTTGTGTTATTTTTGTATCAATATATCGTAAACATTTCAATTAATTTCATCAGGATTAAAAACGACCTTATATTAGGCCTGTTCTTTCTAAATAAATTTCTTGTACGGTTTTCAACGCTTCTCTATTTTTTTTAACATTAGAGGAAAAGAGAAGAAATGAACTATTCAAAAAATTCAGCTAAAAAGAATATAAGCATCTCATATATGATGATATTTGACTGCTCTTAATTTTGATAAATTTAAATATTTATGAAAAAAAAATGGCGATATGAAAATAATATAAAAACACACAGTTTCAACTCAGAAGTCATATGCACAAAATAACATAAATAATTAGCACAAATAAAATTATTAGAATATTACCTGGAGGTGAATTGAATGACGACCCTTTCGATTTATATATGCTTCTGGACTATTTTTTGGTGCAGGAATATTTATATGCGTACCGTCTATAGCTCCTATAGTACCAGGAAAGCCGCGTGCACGAGAAAAACCATAAATAATATTCTCAATGTCATTTTCATCAGGCCATATTATATATCTTTGCGAGATCTCACACAGAGCTTTAGCAACACGACGTACAGCTGTTATTGCAGTCCCTTTACTAACGTTGAATCTTTGAAGTATTGATCTAAAGAAAGAAAAATTATTGTTATATGTAATATAAAAATGTAATGAGTAATGACAACATAAAGATAACTATATTTTTACCTATATGAATCAGGTGTCGCAAAACGCCATAGTGCTATTAAAAACTGCTTCTCTGGTGATATTAATTCAATTCCATTACCTGTACCATGAAGTTTTTCGGCAATTTGACTCAAAATATATTCAAATGTTGAAGGTAGGATACTATAATAACATTCAATTTTTAAAGTATGAATCATTATGTATACACATTTCAAAATTCGAATGTAATATAAGCATATAACTCAAATTAGATAATATACATAAAATAAATTAGATAAAATAATCTTACCGAAAATGTGATTTAAAATGTTCATTGTTAAATGATGGTATTATGCGCTCGACATAACCTTTAATCTTTTTATTAGAAGATGCACTTTTTGCAGAATCAGAACATGCTATTAAATCATCTTCATCGTCATTTAAGTAAATGAGTGATTCCAAAAATTTATTTACGCATATTAATACAATAATTTTTTTTCTATCCATAATCGTATATACGTGTTGTATGTTGTATGCTGTCAACGATTTAATTCAATTTGGAAGCGTTTGCAGCGCTATCTTGACCGTACCCGAGTGAAACGTTTGCAACTTTGAAAGTGTTCATTGACCGGGTCTATGAAAGCGTTAGAATAGAAAGCGATTGAAGCGTTCAATAAGGTCCGCTTGACCGCACCCATAGTTTTATAACGTATGTATGTACATATATATATATAGAGAAAAGTTTAGACAATACAGTGTCGAAGTGCAATAAAACACTATTATTATGGTGTAAGTATTCTTATTTGTGTGAATATTTAATATCGGACTTAACCTAACCTAATCTAATCTTTCTACCTTTTGCATCAACTGTCATCAGCTTATTGGTCAAGAGCACTTATATTGAATTATAATGGCGGTGGTTACCTAACCCAACCGACGCAATGTCGCATCTCTGTTTTCTAGGCCTCTAGCATAAACGTATGCATAAAGAAAATTATCCAATCACATTTTACGTGTATTTCTATAAGGGAAATGCGATTGGATAATTTTCTTTATGTATACTGATGCATATGTTTATGCAGCTACCAGCACTATGCAAGTTTGTGTGGATATGAGCCCCAACACACACTTTTGCATAATGCATAAAGCATGTGCATAAGGAATTTTGTCGGCCCATTTTCTTATGCATGAGTCAATGGACCAATCAAATTTTTTATGTATATGATTTATGCGTTATGCAAAAGCTGTGCTCCCCGCTTAGGCCTATCACACATGAAATGCATAACTGTGCATAAGCATAACATAAGGCCGCTGGACCAATGAGCATTCAGCATAAAGACGCCATATTGATTAACATAAGATGCTCATTGGTCCAGCGGCCATATGTTATGCTTATGCACAGTTATGCATTTCATGTGCGATAGGCCTTAAAGCTTTTAAAGCGGGGAACACAGCTTTTGCATAATGCATAACGCATAGTGCATAAGAGAATCAGCCAATCAAAGTTCTTCTTTACCGTGAAGTGAAAGGAAAGGAGGGATTCAGATTGGTTAATTCTTTTATGGATAAGGCTATTGCTGGATTCACACTGCATCCGATTTTCGTCGTATGATAACTCTGCAACCAATCAGAAAAATCGTATCATCGATACGATCATGGTGGAAGTACCCTAAAGGTTGATTTATACTGACCGTAAACTGTTAACTTATGCCGTAATCTGTAAAAATTGACCAATCACAGTCGAATGAGAGGGGAATAATCGATTATAATTGGTAAATTTTTACAGATTACAGCATAAGTTAACAGATTACGGCCAGTATAATCCAACCTTAAGGGTGCCGTCCCATTAAGCACGAATCAGAATGACGGATCGGGTATCTCACTAGAATTGAGCATTTCGTTCCAGTTCCGTTCCGTGACAGTTTTCTCTACCCGTCCCATTTAGCAAAAACGGAACGGAATGTCGCGTCGATCGTTGGCAAATATGCTTGATTCATCGATATTTCGTTATTTTGAGCAGTTGAAGCAATAATATACATATAATTTGTGCAATTATCTTGCTAATAATATTGTTGTGAGTTCTCTAAAATATTGAATTGTAACGGTAAAATATATTTTGTAACTATATTCCTTTCCGTTTTTGCTGAATGGGACGGGTAGAGAAAACTGTCACGGAACGGAACCGGAACGGAATGCTCAATTCTAGTGAGATACCCGATCCGTCATTCCGATCCGTGCTTAACAAATGTCTATATGTCAACTACAAGTCGACTTTGTTAAGTCAGGTCCTTTGGAGTCGATTGTAAGTCGACTTTATTCAGATGTCTATAGACGTCCTTAAATGTCGACTTTAGAACATCTAGAAGTAGACATTTGTAAAATAGTCGACTTTAAGTCGACTTGTCAGAAAGCCGCACGTATATGTCCGCATGATGGTTGACTTTAAAGTCGACTTACAGTCGACTTCAAAGTGGGACATTGTATGACTTGGAGACGTCTCTAAGTTGTCTAAAGTCAACATACGGACGTCTATTTTCAGACGTCTAGCAGCTGTCAAAACTAGGCGTTAAAGCGGCTGTTTGATAATAAATCTTCTTGAAGTAATTAATCTTAGTATTTATTTGTTGAGGGCATTATATATTTAAATGAATATTGGGCAACTGGTTGACGGATTTGTAAACTGGTTTTATTTAATTAAGAGTTTATAGATAAGTATAAACACGACCGACAAACTCAACGACAAATTAAGAACTGAAAGACGATCACCAATCAACAACTCATTGTCATGGGGATTTTTACATATGGAAAGGGTAATAGAACGGTGCGCGGTAGATCGCGGTGTGAACATAGCTGTATCGTTTACACAGCATAAATCGACTCAGAGTCGACTTAGAGACGATTCTGTGCTATTTTAGGGAAGGTAATGTAAGAATTTTTACGCAAACGCATGTTATCTGAAATTTGTATTTGAAATATAATTCTCTTTTGACCGAATTGCCGCAGTCGCAATCTTAATATTTTAACAAATGAAAATTTGTTTTATGCTCGGTATGGAATTAATTTATGTTAATTACTAGTCTTACTAGTCTGATTTCTAATACGAAGTCTACAATAGAAGTTATAGCTGTAATAGTGTCTCAATAGAAAATTGACCAAGCAGAGGCTGTTTTCCAGCTAGGACACAGAAACGTTACACTGTGCTCCACTGTGTAAAGACTTGTTGGAACGATAGAGCTCTAATTGGTAACACTGGCATACTCTACACGTTCGTACTTAGCTTTTTACAGTGTCGAGCAGTGTAACACTGTGTCACAGTTGGAACACTTTGTGTAAGACACAGTGTTACACTGTGTCATCTGTGTACGTTGTTGGAAAACACCCAGAGTCGATCATACTTTTCATATTCATCTGTGATTGGTCAATTTTCTATGATTTGAGATCTTACGACCGCTACAACTTCCATTGTAGATAACGTATTATGGGCCTTCTACAATAAGCCATAAGTCATAAATCGGAAGTAAGAAACTAAAAATTGACGACTGTGATTGGTCCATTTCTAGCTTATGACTTATGATTTGTGACTTACGGCTTATTGTAGAAGGCCCATTAAGCCCATTCTACATTGGTCGTATCGTAGACGTCGCAGGTCGCAAATTTGTTGCTACAGCCAATCCGATGTGTCAATTAGAAGTCTCACGACACTTACGATACTACGATACAACCAATGTAGAATGGGCTTTAGATTTATTTTAAAATCATACGCATTATATGTTATTATTTTTAATCTAATAAATGAACAATAAATATATTATTCATATTATAAATATATTATTCATTAATTTATAGTACTTATTATATATTTTCCTTTATATGTGGGTTCTGTTTCATATTTATTATAATTCCAAATTGTAATACATTAATAAAAAAGATAATTCATGATTTTATTTTAAAAAATGTGTAAAGAAACAAAAATTTTGTGAATTTAAGAGAAATATGGGAAATTAGTGGAAAATTTGGAAAAAACAGTAATTTTATGAATTAAATGGAAAACTAGGGAAAACTAGGGAGATTTCATGTCCCAATAGGGAAACTGCTTCGCCAGAATGTGGCGACACTGGCTGGACGATAATTTTTTGTTTTTCAAACGGTCAGCGCGAATGCGATAATTTCAAAAATAACTACGACGTCCGTACAGATTGTATTTTGATTGAAACAGAACGAAACAGAAAAGTTAATATCATAAAGCGATATGTGCTCGGAGTTACGTAGTTGGCCAATCTTCAATTCACTGGAGCCGAAGTTCGTCTCCCAGATTCATATGGTTTTCGTATATGGTAATTCGCTTTATTCTCGCTCTTTCAGTAGTCATCTTGGTAATGTCTCCCTTTCAATTTAAAACAGGTAAGTTGGGAAATGAAGCCCTAATCGTGACGAAGGACAAAATGGTATACGGCCTTGGTAACGACATTAACGGTTGTTTGGGGATCGGAAACGAAAATGTCACGTTAGAATTGAAAAAAGTAGAGGCTCTGTGCGGGAAAGATATAAAAACGTTCGCATGTGGCAGCGGACATGTTTTAGCGCTCACAAAAGAGGGAGAGGTAAGAAGTTGCCAGTAGGTTGTAGATCAAAGTACAAGTAAATGTCTTTCCAGCATTTCATTAGAATATCTGCATATATAATTTCCATCTTTTTCGAATATCCACAATTTTTACCGAATGAGAATTCATTGAGCGTTGAATTTCACGCTGTAATCTTGTAAAATATATTATACAAAGTTAGATAATTAATATATGCTTATATGTTTGTGCAGAAAGAAATTTGGATTGTTCTTCTTGTTCTTTATCAATGCATACAGTAATTTAGAAAACTTGTCAGAAATTTTACGGTAACATCGTGAAATAAAGCTATTTTGTAAGATTAAGTTAATAACAGCAATGTCTTCAAAAGGTATACTCTTGGGGCTACTACCATCGTGGCCGACTAAGAGATGGTATAATAGATGATAATGACACATTTATGCTAAACACACCTACTCTAGTGAAACATGACATTATAGATATTGCATGTGGCAGTAACCATTCCGTCGTTCTAACCAAGGATTACAAAGTAAGTAAAATATTAAGATATATTATAGTAATTATATCTGTCTATTATTACGATCAGCTAGATAAATGATCTAATTTAGATTTACATGTGGGGAAATAATAAATACTTACAATTGGGTTATTTCCATTCTCAACACTGTTTTTGTAAAAATGAAGAAAATTGTGGAAGGAAATCATCTCTTATACTTGAACCTACATTTAAAGATACACCTATATTAGCGTTCTTCAAAGAGATGAAGGTTGTCTATGTCTCTTGCGGCGGGACTTTTACCATTGTGATTACTGAAAATGGCGATGTATATAGTTGCGGCTACAATTGCGTCGGTCAGTTGGGAAGACCGAGTAATAATGATTTAGATAATATGCTACGACAGGTCGATTTTTTTAATGACGCAGGTATAATTTTTGTCTTGATACAACAGTAAAAGAGGATGATGAAAATGCAAAAACAGATCGAAAATACATCATTGAACAATTGTTTCTCTTTTAGTCAAGATAGTTTGCGGATTTGAGCATACGTTGGCGCTTACAAACGGCAGAGAGATCTACGCTTGGGGTGGGAACAATAACGGCCAGTTGGGAATCGGGAACAAACAATGTTCCAGTAAACCAATTTTGGTAAACTCATATATGTTTATCGTTTTCATAATAACAAGGAAACGAAGAAAAAAAAACTAAAGTGAAGAATCATGAAATGATCAGTAGTTATACCATTAGGTCAAGTATAAACTGCAACGGATAAAATGGATCGACATTGCAGCTTTGCCTTGCTATAACATAAGCGTTGCTCTCAGCGAAGAAGGACGTGCCTATGTCTGGGGCGATTGCTGCGGTCAAAGCATCTTAACTCCAACCGCCACTTCGTTCTCAAACGTGCACGATGCAATTGCGTACTACGGGCCGAGCGTTATGCATAAACCGTTGGTTTTGTACATGAACAAAGAGCCGAGCGTATTAGAATCCTTGAAAGCTGCTTTCGATGAATCTGTATGTGTCACCATATCTCTGTTTTGCGAACATCTTGCATTCTCGAAATATATTGAAAAAGGAAAAAATACCACTAAAACAGATTAGTATAGTTTCTTTCAGTTGAATTTCTTTACAGTTCATCCTTTCCATCTTTTTTCTTCATGTTAGAATAAAAAGAGAAAAGATGAATTGTGTAAAATATATACAGCTAAAAGGAACAGATGTCTATAATTTTACTATTAGTATCTATAATATATTATGCATAATTATTATCAACATATTCCATTTATTACTATTCATTACATCGATTAAGATTTATCATTTTTTAAATTAAATTATAATGTCCGCTCAAATGAATTTTTCAAATTAAACTTAATATACCTCCCCGGTCAAGAACAAATTTGAGCTATACTAGTTGTTAGAAATATATATATATAAATTTATTATAATAATAATACCGGTATATACGGAAAGTTTCGACTTCACAGAGTCCTCAACACAGTCGGTCTTTAAAACGCAACTCTAATAACATCCCCTTAATTATTTTTCCCACGCATTGTTAGACCAGCGCATTGTTAACCCATATATTTCTTACAGCTAGTATAGCTCAAATTTGTTCTTGACCGGGGAGGTATATTAAGTTTATCATTTTTTATTAAATCTTATTTTAATCATAGTGTTACTAGGTTGAGTCTTAAAAAGAATGTCAAAAAACTTTCTAGCTGAACAAATTAATTGGTAGAACTGTATAATTTAGTTCATTCTCGAATTTAATTGATAAATGTTACAAATATTTTATGTACCAATCTAATATTGTATAGATTTGTATACAACGCCTAATGATTTTTACTCTTTTTTTTGTGATACAGTCTACGAGCGATCTCAAGATACAAGTGGAGGGCCAATTTATCCACGTGCACAAAGCTATCTTAAAGATCCGCTCTGAGTACTTTAAAACCATGTTTCAGCATGATTGGATAGAAAACAATCAAAAGTATAATCATTTAATAAAAAGTCAATGTTATTCATGTTCAAAATTTTTCAAGTTTTACTTATTTTATCGATGTTCTTCTCTCCGATAGTGTCATCAAACATGACCAATTTTCCTATGTAGTCTACAAAGCCTACCTGAAATACTTATATATTGATGCAATCGATTTACCTTTAGAGATGGTATCAGGTCAGTTGAGTACATTATTTATGCAACCTTTGACCTGCATGCTTTTATGATTGAAATAACATTTTTTGTTACAGAACTTTTGGATCTGGCTGAGACTTACTGTGAGAAAAATCTCAAGCAGACCTGCATTCAGATGATAAAGCAAGGAATTACTGCATCAAATGTCGAATATTTTTATGGTATTGCAGTAAAGTATACTTTAGAGGTAGTAAAACACTATCACTATTAGCACTTATTAACATTTCATTATTATAATATTGTCTATTTATGCATATGTAATAATTGAATGTCGTCAATTTTTTAGGAGCTACAAGAATTCTGTATCAAGTTCGCACTTAATAACCACAAGTTAGCTTTGCTGTATGCAGATGATTTCGCCAAGCAAGTCCAGAATATAATAAAACCATTTATAACGAAGGCGTGCGAAGTTAGTAACTTAGTAATCCTGTCTCTCAAAGACAACGCACACCTCAAGTGAAGAATGAAAGTGATTAGTATATGACTGTTCCTATAGATATATTCGCAATATATTTCATAATTTTATATGCTTACGAAATATTTCGATATTTTCTCTATTAAATTTCGCTATTAGCATTTCCTGTAAGTAATAAATAAACATGATTGGCTGTGGCTACAAATTTGTGACTTGCGACGCCTACGATACAACCAATGTAGAATGGGCTTTAGGCCGGTATTCATTCATGCCCGGTTTATGCTTCGGATCTTAATTAAGAGCCCCAACACACACTTTTGTATAAAGCATGTGCGTAAGGAATTTCATTGGTCCATTTTCTTATGCATGAGTCAATGGACCAATCAAATTCTTTATGTTTATGGTTTATGTGTTATGCAAAAGTCTGTGCTCCCCGCTTAAAGCTATATCCACACAAACTTGCATAAACGTATGCATAATGAAAATTATCCAATCACATTTTACTTGCATCTCTACAAGAGAAATCGCGGCTGCGGTCTAGTTGCCACTACGAATGCTTTGAAGCGTTTGATTGACCAATCAAAAGAAAGAGTTATACAAAGTGACCAATCAAGAAACGCTTCAAAGCATTCGTAGTGGCAACTCGACCGCAGTCGCGATTTCTCTTGTAGAGATGCACGTAAAATGTGATTGGATAATTTTCTTTATGCATACGTTTATGCAGCTATGCAAGTTTGTGTGGATATAGCTTAAAGCTGATTTTTCATGTGTAGCACGCTGCGGCAGCAAAATGTTATTATTGGTTAAAAATCTTTTGTGAAGTGACATATTGTGGCGTACTTCCAATCAGTTCTCGAAAATTTGTATCACATGACATTTTGCTGCCGCAGCATGCTGCACATGAAAAATCAGCTCAAGATCCTAAAATTCAACCAATAAAACTGCCAGTTTCAACCGAAATTTGAATTCTATTGGCTAAATTTTAGGATTTTAGGGTTAAGATCAAAGCATAAACCAAGTCAGTTCTTATTTGAAGACTGTCTTAAGTGATGTCTTAATATGCTAAAGCGGCCCTCTGATTGGTTCGTAACTCCCCAAGACTAGAGTCCTAGATATCAGAGAAGCGCAACCGATGTTCCGCGTCCTGATTAGCTGACTGTCAGCCAATCATGACATTCATTCAGTGGTATTAAAAATAGCTGACTAATAGACGATTGGTGGATTTCATTTCGTCTGCAAACGACGCCATTTTTAATACTTTTCTTAGTAATTTTGGGATACTGACTTAAGCCGGTTGCGCTTGTGGCGTCCTTTGCTACGTCGTTGGAGAAATTGATCTCACTCGATTGCAGAGGATATTTTATGATGGAAAAGCTATTAGGCGAATAAAACAAGACTTCGCGTTCTGTATATATAATCTTTAATAATTTCCACGAGGTAAGGGCTGCGCACAATAGGAGAAATATTAGGAACAGATATTAAATGTAAGAATTTTAACCTATCAGAACTGTGTACTGTGGAATGTGCGCTTTCTAACAGGTTAAAATTATTATATTTAATATCTGTTCCTAATATTTTTCCTATTGTGCGTAGACCCTAACGAGAACGAATAATATATTAGTACATAAAGAAAGGTAAGTACATAGAGTTTCTACACGCTAAGTAAAGAAAGGCTGTATGTAAGTACATACTGCGCTGAGCGCGCCGCGGTGGCAGGAATTAAAACTAAAAAGTAACTAGGGAGACGCCACACGCTTCTCTGATATCTAGGGCCGGTATTCATAGTCAGTTCTTATTTGAAGACTGTCTTAAGTAATGTCTTAAAATGCTAAAGCGGCCCTCTGATTGGTTCGTAACTCTTCAAGACTGAACTTAAGACGGTCTTGAATATAAGAACTGACTATGAATACCGGCCTAGGACTCTACCCAAGACTAAACTTAAGACGATCTTGAATATAAGAACTGACTATGAATACCGGCCTTAAAGCAAAGTTGTGGACCTTAAGGCCGGTATTCATAGTCAGTTCTTATTTGAAGACTGTCTTAAGTAATGTCTTAAAATGCTAAAGCGGCCCTCTGATTGGTTCGTAACTCTTTTGGGCCTTCTACAATAAGCCATAAGTCATGAATCGGAAGTAAGAAACTAAAAATTGACGACTGTGATTGGTCCAATTCTAGCTTATGACTTATGATTTGTGACTTACGGCTTATTGTAGAAGGCCCATTCAAGACTGAGAGGGTGATTTTACATGCAGCGCGGAACGCGGTAAGGTGCTTTTTCATGCGCAGCACGCTGCAGCAGCAATTCGGTACTGGTTAAGAATTTTAAGTAAGCTAGATGACGCACTTCCGGCGCAAAATACATTTTGCCGCAGTTCGTTGAACCGAACGAACAGCAAGCAGCAAGCGGCAAAATCGAGGCAATATTATTTATTGCAATAAATATTAGGAAAATTAACGAAGAATGGCTTCGGATAAGGTACGAATGTTTGTAAATTAGATCATTTTATACTTTACTTTTTCAAATTTGTGGTAAAGTATAAAATGATCTAATTTACAAACATGTATCCGTACCTTATCCGAAGCCATTTTTCGTTTATTTTCCTAATATTTATTGCAATAAATAATATTTTCATAATGAAACGACGGACATATTGTACGCTTTCTCGATTTTGCCGCTTGCTGCTTGCTGTTCGTTCGGTTCAACTTCAACGAACTGCGGCAAAATGTATTTTGCGCCGGAAGTGCGTCATCTAGCTTACATAAAATTCTTAACCAATAGTAACGAATTGCTGCTGCAGCGTGCTGCGCATGAAAAAGCACCTTTAGGCGGTAAAGTAACCAGGAACCGCGGCGGCAAGCCGCGGTACGCGGTATGCGGTTCGTGGTGAAGTAACTATAAGGTAATTAACCTGAAAAGTTAACGCAAATTTCTTCCAAGTGGCCAATAAAGCACGTGGTAATTATTAGATTTAATCGATTTAATAATGTTATCATGGCCATCAACATCATATCTGCAGTCTCCATGACAAAAACAGTCTTTAATTAATGCAAAAATCGTTTTTTTTTTCCTACCAAACTCCGAACTCCGAAATTATTTCTCTTTACTTGGCAGTATACACAGTATATACCTGTGTTAATTTCTAGTTATGCACCCAGCTGACCGAGCCGATGCCGACCATGTCGTTATCGTTCCGCCTTTCTTTTTTCCTACTATTACATGGAACGCGGAAAGGCGGCACGGTATAGTAACAAGTTCACATTTGTATGCATTTTCTTAAATGTATAACTTATTTCTATGCACATTTTATCAATAATCTTATTTTTTCAACAAATCTGCTTAATAATTGCATTTAAATCTATTAATTTCATTAAAAAGTGCACAGTAACGTCAACTTGTCACTAGTCCGTGCCGCTTTTCCGCACAGTTTTGGCTCCATGTAATAATAGGAGAAAATTAGCGCGGCTTACCGCCTACCGCGTACCGCGTTCCGCGCTGCATGTAAAATCACCCTGAACTTAACGACGGTCTTGAATATAAGAACTGACTATGAATACCGGCCTTTGATTGGTTCGTGACATCTTAAGACTGTACTTAAGACGATCTTGAATATAAGAATTGACTATGAATACCGGCCTAAGATTTATAGCGTTTTCCACTGGGAAAAATATTTTTTAAATATGGTATGCTGATTGGGTAGCACGGCGCTAGTGCTGCACCAGTTTTCCCAGTGGAAAACGCTATTAGATGACTGTTTAAAGCGGGGAGCACAGACTTTTGCATAACGCATAATACATAGTGCATAAGAGAATTAACCAATCTGAAGCCCTCCTTTCCTTCTACTTCAACGAAAAGAAATACTTTGATTGGCTGATTCTCTTATGCACTATGTATTAAGCGTTATGCAAAAGCTTGTGTTTGAGCTCTAAATTGTAAAAAGCCCATAAAAATATTAGATAATATAATCTTTTAAATTAAAAGTCTGCTCATTTTAACTGAAGTTTTTGCGTGGTTCATCTTTTTTCTTTTTTTCTTTACGTTGGGAAGAAAAAAAAGATGAACTGTGTAAGATATTCAGCTAAAAAGAACGGGTCTAACCTAATGTATGTTAATATTTATGATTTTATAGAATTGTATTAATGTTCAGCGTTTTATAAAAATTTAATTAGATTGTTCGTTTTAATGCCTCTTTTCTTTTTTTATTAAAACGAGAGGATCAAAAAGTAATGTAAGTGTGATAAATATTCAAAACTGATATTCAATTACTTAGTAGACCGATTTATTTTAGTAAGTACTTACATTTAATATATGTACTTATGTGTGTTTATTAGATCCTGTATATATACATATAATAGAAGAATTATTGAGAACAAAATGAAAATAGATATATTAAATGTACAAATAGAGGTTAAACGTAACTTACAATTGATAGATACAAATAAGATGTTCATATTTTTTATTTCTTATTTGTATCCATTGTACCTGCGCACAATGGAGGAAAAAAAAATATCAGGAACAGAAATAAATATTAAAATTTAACTTATTGAAAACACCATATATTTTGATATAACCAATTTCTGATAGATTGAAATTTTAACATGTATTCCTATTTTTAATATTTCTTCTCTCTCTCTCTCTCTCTCTCTTTTATGTACAGCTTAATACATATGTGTTTAATCTCTATTATTAGTTTTTCACATTTTTTAATATTTAATATTTATTCTTATTCATAAAATTTCTTCTATTATATGCAGGGTCCTTGGGATTTCAAATATAAAATTAAATTTTAGCAAGAACAAATTATAAATGCTACTTAGAAGTTATATTTATTTCATTTTAGAGTGTCTGGACATCATATTTTTTCTTTGTAATTCTCAAATGCAATATCTTATTTAACTTTTAAATATATTTATATGTGTCAAATTATACTTCATTTGATGTCGTATTGTTCAATGTTTTAAAAAGGATATTTACTTTTTTAAGTAGCTATTTTTGTTTTTATTTTACATGTCAAAATTTGTCAGTAAAAGTTTAAAAAAATTTTTATTTAGATACATTTATTTTATCTAATTGTGTATGTATATGTGTATATTTTATGTGATCACAATTTGTGCTATTTATGTTATATACATATGTTATATGATCATTATTAGTACTATTTATATCACTACATCTTTATCATTAGTAGATATAAAAGAAGGATAGAATGACATAAATAGTGCTAATAGGATCTCTCTAAACTTACATTATAAGCTTATACACATATAAACACATGCAACCAATATAGGAATGTAATTATTTTCAGATTGTTAGATGTTATTTAAAGAAAAAATTTTATTTCAACTTTTGTTTAAATGAAGTTTTAACTATTTCAGATATAAATAACATGGATGTTGAAGTATCTATAGCTGAGCGCTTGCAGAAATTAAAACAATGGCAAATAGAACAACAGGACAAATTATTGAAGCAACAACAAGTACAAAGGGAGATTTTAAGTAATGAGCAAGATCGTATTTACAAAGTACTTGGTTTGCCAACACACTTTGATATTATTGAAAATACGGAGGACATGTGTGTTACACAGGAGAATGAAATGAATGTAAAGGAAACAATGTCCGATAAAGCTTCAATGCTTCAATACAGTGCGAAAAATTTAAATGGCATATTAAAAACGATCGATAAAAGAATATCAACAAATGTTCCAACATATAAAAATTGTAATCAGGAGCAAACTAACGATTCTGATTGCATTTCTACAATTGTCGATAAAAGCAAAAATTTTGTGAGAGATTACGATTCTGAATTAAGTGATTCATTTTTTTTAATAGAAGGTATAAAGCCGCTCTCATTGAATGATGGTTCAAATTGTGTCTCAGTTTTTGATGATGTACCTCTTCCTTCACCAAAAAGAGATTTTCAAACAATATTAGAAGAAAAATTACAGAAAGAATCGGAAATTATGTCAAATGCACACATGGATACAAAGATCAAGTCAAAGAAACCATTTCTAAAGAAAGGTCAAGGACTGTCAAGATTTAAAATGTCTGCAAATCTACATTCCCCACTTGCAGTTACAAAAAAGTATAATAAGCCTTTATCTCCTAATATACAACATACTGATAGAAGTGATAAGTGCAAGAGCTCTGTTGCACGTAGACATGTATCTCCAAAAATTTTGGATAATGTTCCTGTTGTAAATAGAAAGCAACAGTTAAGCTTGAAAACTGTTCCATTACCGAAAAAGAAGATTTTTAATAAGTCTATTACTTCTGCTAATCAAGTCGCACATAACATTACTCCTAACGTATCAAAACATATATCAGAAATGAATATATCAGATTGTGATTCAAAAGCAGAGAAAGAATTAGAGGAGGTAAGAATATTTGAACTCTTGGAAGAAAAGGCAGAAAATTCTAGTTTTTGTTCAACATCGAGCACTGTGCTTGCATTTTTGCAGCAGTCTACACCATTTAAAGTAAAGAATAAATTAAGTCAAACAAGCGGAAACAGTGTTGCAAGTAAAAAACAGCAAAGTAAACAAATAAGTGATATGGTCGAGCCAGGGAATGAACAAGTTGCACACGCTGGAAATTTAAAATCAAATGTACAGTGCCAGGTTGAACAATTTGAATTTCATAAACATGCTCATACTAATGCTGCCACTACCAATTCTTATGAGGATATTACTACTATTGATAATATGTCAGAAAGGACACATAATTGTTTTATGCTTACTAATCAAATATTGCAAAGCAATGAAGCATACACAAACTGTCTAGAAAATCATGATACACCTACTACCACAGTATTGTCGAATAGTGAAGAAGAGAAGGACATTTCTACGAGAAATGAATGTAAATTAATGTATGAAAGTGAAGCGGATGTCAGTCATCATGTTAGATTTTCAGAATATAATGAATATAAAACCATAGATTCAACTGATGCATCTGATACAGCAAGTGATTCTCCTTTAAACATTTATCTCAAACAACAGGATTGGAATGATCATTCTACTGACACATTAGAAGAATCATTTGATGCCACGAAGAACCTGCCATTTAATTATAAGGAACAAATTCATAATTCCTCTTCAAACATTATCAGCAATAAAAAAACGGTTGATACTCCAAGACAATTGTTTTTGCAGCAAGACGTGACAGGACATAACAAAAAAGATTCCTATAATCATTTAATAAAAACTATACATGTTCTCGAAGAAGAAAATGCTTCAAATCATAATGACGAATTGTCCAACGAAGATACATGCTATAATAATGAATGTACTCCAATTGAAGTGGAAATATCTGACGAAGAACGATCTGTTTTGTCATCGCTGTTATCGTCGTCCTCATCGTCATTATTATCAGATACTCAAGAGTTACATGCATATAAAAGGAAAGAATATATGTTGAAAAACAAGCCGGAAAAAATAACGGAGAAGATAGCGAAAATATGTTCGAACGTGAATGAAGTTGATTGTTATTCATCCGAGGAACGGATTAATCAAATGAATACTTTCGAAACGGAACTTTTAAAAAACCGTTTATTAGAACTCGAAAAAGAAATAAACATATTTCGAAAGGAAAGTTCAGCATTGTTGTTTCAACGCCGAAAATTACAAGAAGACGAAATAATTCTATGTAAACAGTACGCAGAGAAAGAAAAGAATTTGGAAGAAAATAGAAGAAGAGTAGAGAACCAATTACAAGAGGAGAAAAAGAGAATAATGCGTGAGAAGATAGCAATGGAAAATAGAATTCGCGATGCTCAGGAAAAGGCGAAGCAAAATAAAATGGAAAGACAAAAAGCGCAAAATTTGCAGGAGCAGGTAGAACAATTGAAGGATGAGCTAAATGTCAAAGAAAGTAGATGGAATGCTGCTGAATCAAGGTACAAAAGCGAGCTTCGTGTATTACGAGTAGAGATATCAAAGTTGAAACAAGAAATTGCAAATCTACAAAATATTAAAAGAACAAACGTTAGAAATCATAGGAAAAACACAGGGCAAGTAATTAACAAAGCCATCAATCAAATTAACAAACGCGTTACAATACCGTCTAACGAGATTTCAATGAAGACGTGTCACGATTTATCGAATATTTCATCAGATACTTCTGACAATGATGATGAAGATGAAAACAAAACTAAAATAAATGGGTTTGGACAAATAGAAAGTGATGCACTTACAAACAAAGAAAAATATAAACAAATTAAGATTAAATCGCAGCTTAAATGCAATCAAAAATTCATGGAAGAAAACATTGCGGAAAAGAAACGATATTTATATGAAAATTTATTAAAAGACGCAACATCGGATTTGATAGAACAAAATCAATTTCATACAAACCAGAATGTATTGAGTGATAGCCAGCTAATAGTTACACAAATACAGAATTTAAGTACAAAAAACAATGATAAATCGTGTTCCAGTTCTACAAATAAAGACCTTGGACATACAACAGCTGATGTTGCAAATGATACAGAATATTGTATTAATAAATCACGTGAATTAAATCAGAATTCAGATGAAAATGACGTAAGAATAGAAAAAGAAAAAAGGAAAGATCGAACATTGTCGCTTGAGAAGAGTTTAAGTTCTACATTGCATCCTTCTGTTTCCGAGAATCAGATTAGTAAGACAAGTATGGACGCTGTAAAACAGATTCAGTTTGCTGATGGACGCATAGAATATTGGTATCCAAATGGTAACGTTAAAAAGATTTTTCCCGACCAAGAAGTTACAAAAATGATCTATTACAATGGAGATGTTCGTGAAACTGACAAAACTAAGGGAGTAAAGTATTTTTATGCCACAACTCGAACATGGCATACAACAACTTCCGATGGCTTAGAGATTTTAGAATTTCCCGAGTACGTTTATTTTGTTATTATTTTATATTTGCTTATTCCAATTTGTTACTTTGTTTTACTCTTTAAAAATAATGTATAATAAATCAAAATTATATTTACATATAGTGGTCAAGTGGAAAAGCGTATGACCGATGGTACTGTCGAAGTGTTATTTCCAGACGGAACAGTAGTGCAAACTTTTATTAATGGCGACAAGATTTTAATTTTACCAAATGGACAAAAAGAAATTCATACAAAAGAACATAAGGTGAATGAGTGTTTAACTTTTTATTTTGTATTTCAAATACATTCTTCCCATTCGTCTAATTCTAACGTTATAATCAACATAAAATAGAAAGGGCGATATAAGAGTCAAACAATAAATTATCATTTAAAAAATAATACTCAACTGTCAATACATTTAATAAAAATTTTGAAATTATATAAATATAAAACTAAGTATAACAATATAAAATAAAAAATATATAAATTTTAATTTAAATTTTTTTTATATTTATATATTTTTTATTTTATATTGTTATACTTAGTTTTATATTTATATAATTTCAAAATTTTTATTAAATGTATTGACAGTTGAGTATTATTTTTTAAATGATAATTTATTGTTTGACTCTTATATCGCCCTTTCTATTTTATGTTGATTATTTTTATTGAGAATCCTTGCTTATTTTCATTTTATTTGTTTCTAACGTGTTTATACTTTGTTCTTTTTTTTAAATAGAATTTTATAAATGTGCAAATTTGAATTAATATCGATTATTAAATAATATTTATTTGAATATTTCAGAGACGAGAATATCCTGATGGTACTATAAAGCTAGTTTATGCGGATGGTACCCAAGAAACACATTATTCTAGCGGAAGAAAACGGTTAAAAGATAAAGATGGTAATCTTTTGATGGATTCGTACGATGTATAAATTTTTTCCATCCAGAAATTTTTTTTATGAAATTCAGTAAAAATGTATTAAAAAATATATATGTACACAAAATGTAAATGTTATTATAATTAATTATATAATTGATATATTGCACATGACAATTGATATACTGTATAATAATTATTTTTATTAGAATTTGAAAGTAAATGCTGATTTTTTTTTCATTATAATAAGTAAATAAAGATTGCAACTTTTATATACAAAGTGTTCTATTTATTATTGCGATAAAATATGCATTAAATACTTTGTTATTTAAAATAGTAAGCAGAAAAAAGGTAAAAGTTACATAAGAAATTAATTAAATAATTTTTGTTATTGTGTAAATTTTTCAAACAAATTATCAACTATAAAATCTTTATTAATACGAAATTATTGCAAAAGGATTTTATAAATTTTAAACTTAAAAAAATTTATGGAAACTTCTTTAAATGTGACGGAATGTTTTCGTAAAACAGATTTTGTTCGTAATACCGAATGGGAACAATTTACAACATTTTGTTTCTTAAGAATAAAAATTATATGGCAAAAGAAGAACCACTTGTAGAAAAGAAAGTGTAAACCTGATATTCATGTGTTGATTGACTAGAGAACAGAGAGGTCCTCTGATCTCTTTATCCTATAGTCAATCAATTTGAAAATTCCATTTTGTCGTATAACAAAATGAAATACCGGTCTTGTAAAGATTTTCTTCATGAGCTGAAAAATAAAAAATTAACAAATATTTGCGACTGTACATACGAAATTTTCAAATATAACTCAAACTTCAAATATAATTAATATTACTAAAGTAATCAGATTCAATCTGATTCAACTAGGTAAACTAGGTCATTCCTAGTTAAAAATAATTAAATGATTTTAATTTTGGCGATTTTTCAGTACTCTTACTGAAAAATTCAACGAAATTTTTCCATCAAAGAAGAAAGTTAATTGCATAAAAAAATCAATAAAACTGTTTTCTAATAAAAAATATATTTAAAAATATACATATAACTGTTTTCTAGCTTTGGTCTTCCATGATTTTTTAAAGCAATCTTTTTAAAAACACAAAAAAGTATGTTGTGTCTAAAAAGTTAATTACTTAGTGAAAATAGTATAAATGAAATTTTATTATCTATATATGTATATTTTATAAAATATTTTTATGTACGATGAGAGTAAAAAGATGAAAAGATATCAAAGAAAATGTTATTCAACAAATAATTGTATATCAACATTATTAATCAAATATAATGTTACGCATTTTATAGTTTACTAACGTGATAATTCAAGCAGTGTCTTATATTAACATACTCAAAATCAGAGAATGAAACTATAGTAATTTTTGTCGATATTGTTTTATAATAACGGTTTGTTAATGATGTTGCAATTTATGACTGTAACAATAACTAATTAAACGTGTTAATTATTGCATTAAGATTGAAAAAATCACTTTGAAAAGTACTTGTCACCATCATGCGTTATCTTACTAAAATAAGTAAATTCGTTATTTTTAAGGCAACAACGAGATACTTTATTCGTTACAAGCAACGAATAAAGTAATTTTTGCAATGTTATTACCAAATTGTTAATAAAGTAACGAGATAAAAAGAAAATAACGCGTGTTTCCATTCCCTGCTAAAAATACATCATCTAATGATTGTAATTAAAAATCTATCGCGTCACTTTATATAATTGTGTGTGTGTGTGTGTGTGTGTGTGTGTGTGGTGTGTGCGCGCGCGCGCACGTGTGTATATTCGAGAATTGAAACGTGTCGAAAAAGTCATATATTACATTGACAGACCTTGTTCTGAAATATTTAATATCGTTCATCTAGTCGAAAAATCGAAAAAATTACATTATAAACATTTCAGATAATATAAAATAAACGTTCATGTGCTTTACCTTTTACTCCGTTTTAAGAATTAATCTTATTGTGAGAGAGAGTATGGATAGTATTTATCATGTTCTACCAAATTATTAACTATATAATTCGATAATTATAATTCATAAAAATAATTTAGTCCCAAACGCAATAATTTCGAAGAGATGCACTTAACAATTCACTCATTCTATTAATCATTAATTATGCGTCTGTATTTTCTATTAGGTGGAAAAACTTCTTCATCTTCTTCCTTGTCAGGTGTGAGAAAAGGATCATCATATGCATAATTTGGTGCCCATTTTAATAATAATTTTTCAAAAAACTCTTCTAAGTTTCTAGCTTCTTGATAAACTTGTGAATCCACCTAAAAAAAAAGAAATGTATAAATACGAAAAAAGGTGATGATGGTAAAAAAGAATTAAAAATTTTTATCAGTTTACAGGATTGTACGTAAAAGCATTTTTAAACATAAGTCTAATGTCCGCCATAACTTGTCTTAGATCTGTATAATGGTCTATATGGTCAGATTTTAATTTATCCCTGATTATATCTAATGCAATTGGCTTCTTGATAATTCGATGATAATCAGTAATCTGAAAACAAAAACGTTTACTACATTATCTTGACTTGTCAAATACTAACATCGAGAAAAAATTATGCTGTCTCTCATTTACCTCACTTGATACAACTTCCCGAAAAGGTAAGCTTTGCTCATATTGACAATAAAGTTCTAACACAATCCTTTGTGCAATTCGCAATTCCTTAGTGCTCATACCGTTTGATCTTTTTTCACTGTTCGATATATCATCCGAACAATCGAGTACATTTGTACACAACATACACTGCCAAGTTTCACTCTCGCTAAAAAAATGCTTAATTAATCTTGAATTGAGTTGAAAGGAAGAGTGAGATAAAGGATACACCATAAATAAAAAGCTTACTCTGGAAATGATTTTAAACTAGGTATATGACAATAAAGATGGAAGACTTTTGGACATTTATCGCAACATAATACTGCGTCTCCTCCATCCATACATACGGCACACCAATCTTCGTTTGGATCGTCTTTCATCACCATAGAAGCGGTTGTATTTTTCGAATTATCTGCTAAAAAAAAGACATGTAAATTGAATTAAAAAGCCTAAGCCAAGTTTTCTATGTAAAAAAACAATAGTATAGTTAACATTTTTTAATTAAAGTGAAATAACATCAAGTTCAACTAACTTGTTGTATTCTCAGCTATCGTGTTTATATCCTCGTCGGTGGAACTATCAACTTGTGCCGAATCTATCTGATTTCTTTGAGCTTCTGGTATCACCAAGATTCCATTACTATCTAATTTTGCAATAGTGAGCATTAAATCATTTAATGATTTTTGACAAAACTTATCTAAGCTCTTTTCAGTATCGTCCGACTTGCCAGGAGTGGTGACAGGACTAGGAGTTTTGGGTATGGACGAACTGACAGCATGTAACAATGAAACGGTAGCCGAATTTTGCAACTGTGGTGGATTATCACACGAGCTGACGCTTACATTAGTGTTAAATTTTTGATTATTGTTAGTCTGTTGATTCCTTAAAGTAATTTTGTATGTATCATTGGTAGGAACTGGTGTATAAGTAGGTATATGTTGCTGTCGAGGCAAGGTATAAGGAAGGCAAGGATTTGCTTGTTGTGGTATATGCCAACGATGAATGGGATAATTTCCAATGTGCTGCGATGACGGAGAAGTCAAATTACATTGCTGCATACGTGACGTCACAGGTACAATGGACGTATTTGCCGTTTGATATGTATGAGGTGGTGGTACTTGGACTCTCTGAGGGTTACTATTTGAAGAATATCTATATCCAGGAGAAAATCGGTACGGTACATGATTGGCGGATGCACGGAACGATGGATATGGGGGCGGTGGAATAGAATTATGCGCGAGAAGCCCCCGTAAACTTGTGTTCTGTCCCAATTGATCCAGATTTTGAGCTTGCTGATGTGGATGTGTGGATGATGTTACTTGTTGCTGATGACAGGTTCCCAATGGACGTTGTTGATGCATCAGCGGAGGTTGTTGCAATCTGTTATTACTATAGTTAACAGAATACGGTACTCGTGGCTGATGCGCTTGTGGCGATGATCGAGGTGACATACTGTGTGGTGCGATATACTGTTGCATATAATTTTGTGATTGTTGAGTATGTTGCTGTTGCTGTTGTTGTTGTTGTTGTTGCTGTGGAAGATGCAGAGACGCTTGTTGCTGATAAGAATTCTGTTGCGTGTTAGTGGATTGTTGTGTTACCATTACAGGTAATGGTAATCCCTGCTGAATGGCAATGGGCATAACACCATCAGACTGAGCATTATTTACCGAATTCGTGGTTTGTTTTTGTTCAGCTTGTGATTCATTATAAGACACTGTGCTGTTACTAGCAGTTAAAGGAGACATGGACGGATATACTCTACCATCGACGACTATTGCTCCGATTGATGATACTACTGCAGAAGTAATACAAATAAATTGGATTATGCTCACAAAATATAATCCATTGGGTTGATTTTCTAATTTTAAGATTAAATCTCTATTTATTGATTATGTCAATTATACAGTATATAAAAACTAAAAAAGGTAAAACTATAAAAGTAAAAAATCAGGTAAGAAATGATTTAGTGTTGCGTTACAAACCTTTTATTAAATCTGGTACTTTTTCCAAAGATAAATGTATCCTAACAGGTATTTCAGGATTTGGAATATCAGCTCGTCTACTTTTTATTCTTTGCAAATGGCTTGTCACGGATCTGTAATAATATTATGTGTGCATATATATAAAATGGGGCATTTAAAATATTACAGCTGTTATCTCTGAAAGAACTTATCATAAAAATGTTTTATATAAATATAAAACAAAATTAAAAAGCCAATACGAGCCGACACAAGTTATCAGTGTGCAATTACAATTTATTCATATAGAACATTAAACATAGATGTTTCGACTTATGTTTAAGGTCCTCTTCAGTACATAAAAATAAATTAAATACTAATAAAAAACACAAGGTAATAATAGTGTAGAAAAAACCACTACTGCTATATCCTTTTTTTCAATTTTTTAAGATCATGTGACAGTCATATGACTTATA